TAGATATGTGTAAACCCTAGGACTTGTTTCTTCGAATCGTATGGAAGACACCTATAAGTATGAGATTACTGAGCTACAACTACTCATCTTTGGAGATTTCAAAACAATTTTATGACTTTCTAGTAAAAATAGATGGTTACAGTACTGACCTGTCTTGCCTTCCTACGTTCCTTTCTAGTTTCTGGTGGGTGCAATATTGATGAGGTGGACGGACGAGATTCATCTAGATCCTCGAACTCGCAAGTAAACTAAATCTCTTTACTTCACTATGAGTTAGAGAAAACTGAAACTAGAATTACCCTTTCACTCATGGCCTCCATCAAAGCGGGAATATCTTCTTCCATCACTAAGCTCAATAAGGAGTGGCGAACAGGATTACCGTCACCAGCGATTATCTAAAATATACCATCACACCTGTTGTAGAGCACATCATCCAAACTTTGAGATCTGAATAATTTAACAATTGCTTACAACTGTATCAAGATCTGGTGGTAATGGGCTAAGATCAACGGGTTGATGTTCTTCATCCTCGCTTTCAGAAGAAGATGTTTCCATGTTCTTTAATTGACATAATTAACAAAGATTTCGAGAGTGATTACTCGAGTTTTACCTTGAGAGTTAAAGGGCGAGCCATGCGTTCGCCAGCAAGTTCAGAAGATTTTGAGAAATCTGGGTAAAGCGTTTTTGTCTGAATGTGTCCGTCTTCAGAACTATGTTGAGTTGCCTACAAAAACCACTAATAGATGTTGATGGAAGGAAATGGTAAATCTTTTCTGAGGTTACCACGATTTGATCAGTACTCTGACTGTGATCCATGATAAAAGGATTCTCGTACGGCTTTTCTTCTCTTGCAGGGCTTGAAATCTTTGATTTCTCTTCGATATATTTTGCTGAAAGACTTTTTCTTGGAGCATCAGGTTGTTGAGTTGTTGACGTCGTCCACGAAATTGGGGGTGGGGTTGATGGTAACCGCTTCACCGTCGTTGCAACTGACGGTGATACATCCACATTGTCTTCGTCATCATCTAAATGCCGTAAGCTTTATTTAATTACACATTATATTCTATAGCGGGTCCTTTTGCATGAGCAT